AAGAAACGGCAAAAACAAAGTTTTCACAGATATAAATGTCGGGTTCATGATTTTTCCCGAAAACAACTTTCAAAGCATTTCATTTACAATTAGCCCATGTAAATTTTGCTCCTAAAACGGGAGTTAACGTTGATTGAAGTTTGAAATCATAAAAGTGCCGATTTCTCGGTGTTCGGTTTTTGGCAATTACCGTTGACCTAATTTTAAATGGCGTTTCAGTGAATAGCGCTACGATGTCGCCGTTTAACTTTTCTTACTCTTGGATATGTTGGCTTCATATCCGTATTTGCATATTTGCAAAATTCTATTGCGTTTTTTCACAAACCTCGTGCAAACCACCGGTATACTCTAACTTTAACACCAAAAAACGTGCTTGAAATTTGTGATTTTCGGAAAGAAAAAAAAAACTTAATGCAAAAAATAGAAATACGGATTTAAACTTCTAGACCTTTGCTTCAAAACAGTGTAAAGTTTTTGATCGCATGAATGACTGTAGAGATGACAATTAAAATTTTATTCACGTTAGTTAAATTATCAGCCCCGCTGATTTTCAGAATCACATGACGCTAAAACAAACACAATGTTCACAAAATATTAATAGTAGGAAAATACAAGTCAAGAGCTTTCTAAACATATATAGATTGTATGGTTTCTTGTAAAATTTATTCCGATTATAGGTGTTTACATTTTTCATGCAAAAAAACTATCCTGCTACCTTAATATGCACAGGTATGACATTAAAGAAATAAACAGAGTACTTATTTACCAAGAGCTGCTGCTGTACAGTGTGCCAACATAAATCCAGAATTAAAACCACCATCATTGACCAGGAATGCGGGTAGACCACTGTATGCTATATTTAACAAACCAATATTGAAATTAGTATAATTATATAATAATTAATTGTAGATTATCTGTGAAATTTGTTCAGGGCTTGTCACAAAGGGTAGGTCTGAAGAAAATTTCCATGCACACAACTGAATCATACCTTAAGTTTGCCTTAACAGACAAAAGTACATATATACTATATTAGACAACATATAGTTTTGGCAGTTGAGTTTAAAAAGTTAACGTTGTTGCTGCATGACATTGAACATCGTATGTCTCTCGTTCATATACCTGGATTACATAGTCTTTCAATTCTTCTTTCACTGATGCTAGCTATTTCATGGATACCAATTGCTAAATAGTCAAGTGCCTGTAAAATATGGATTAAAAATGTTACCACTATGAAATACTGAAATAGAATGGGATAGAATATATGGTATATATTTTTTTTTGCTGAAATCATTATCTTGGTTCTGTTGCATGTACTATAAAGTCTTCTATTAATTAATCTATTATCTTCTATTATCAACTGATTTCTTCTAAAACGTATGAATTTCCTTTAAATAGCATCAGACTGATTTTAGAAAATCTGTTGATGTTTGAAAAGTTACTGATATTTAATTCTGATTGGCACATGAAAGAATATGTATTTGATTGGGGAGGAAAAACTCATTTTTCAGCTCAATACTTGAAACAAAAATTGGCCAAATTATGGTTAAATTATTTTCTCTGCCAAATTAATGCATGCACTTATGTTTCAGTAATTCAACTACACAGAAAAAAATAACCGTATTCAAATTGTTTTGATAAATTCTCTTGATGCTTTTTTGACAAGTCTTTTTTTTCCATTTTTACTGTTTAAACTTGCGTCCATTGACATATATTTAATACTACACATATTGTGTCGACCACCCAATAAAACCATCTCTTAAAAATTCAAACTCCCAAACAATATAATTTTAGTTTCTCTCCAATAATTATGATTTATATGTGATCCAATTAATGAAAGGTTCGTTTGTTTTGCTGATGAGTAAATTTCATACAAATTCAAGTTTCATAGAAATCCCTTATGAAAATAAAAATGAATCACATTACAGTGTCTAGACTGATTGAACATGTGATCACGTACAGACAGATACAAAGCATCATTTATTTTGTGTAAATTAAAAAATTACTACAATTGGAATTTAATCTTCTCACCCGATTAAACCTAATTATCAGATACAAATTTTAAAATAGTTATTTGTTATAATCAGGAGTTCACAGGGCACTTTTCATAACTACAAAACAACAACAAATTCACAAATTGAAAGGCACTAGAGAGTTCTACTTATATACTTAGTATGACTAATTATTGGGCTGTTTGCCAGTTTAGTCTGAGCAGTTATGTAGGGCAGTTCAAGTAAGGGTCAAAATGGAAAAGGGCAAGGCTCCTAAGCAAACATGAATAGTACGAGGTCAAACTCATCACCCTTATTATTCAGTGTTTGAAATATAAGTTTAGTTTCTAGAATTCACTCAACCATTATTGTGATCACTTAGATTTACAAATCAAACTTAGCATACACATGTAATTACATTGCAGTCAAAGTATCAAGAAAATCCCTTATAAAATCAATGTTTCCACTTTTATTTATTTATCATGATTGGTGTTTTGATCAAAGTTATAATTACTGCATGAATACTTTTAGATTAATCTCAGTGACTTCATAATATTAGAATATTAAAATTCCTAATGTCATACTTTCATAGTAATAATGCTATAGAAAATGAAAGATTATTATAAATACCAGGTGTACAACATTCAATTAATCTTGTCACACAGCAAGGTATTGCAGCAAAAACAAGTACACAGTTAGTATTTTTAAATGAATGAGCCAAAATAAAGCAGTCTGTAGGCATACATGTAGACCACACAGAATCAAAGTAACTCTGAGATAATGTAGCCAACCATTATTTTTAAAACAGTTGGGGTTGATTACTCTAAATGCAAAAAGTTACACTAGCCGTGTTGATAAACATGTGTTGCCCCTTTTGACAACAGATCCTTATTGATACAATATTGTACCAGCTGTACTTTTGATAAGCTTCCAATAACAGTAAATAACCAAACAAAACAAACGTTGCACACTGCTCATGTATAATGAAAAGCAGCAATTCATGAATTCAATGATAAATGATGTCTTACTTTTGCGGGATATTCTCCATGGAAGTTGCCACCAGATATAATTTCATGACGTTCAGGAAATACCATCTATACACAACTGTTAAGGTACTTGGCTACCACACAAACTTATCCCCAGATTCCCTTCACTTTTACCATATGGTTTTTATTTTATGCTGTTACTCACAAAATCCAGATAAAAAGGTTAGCAGGTCACCAAACTGTTTTTGCACACAAACAAAGCATCAAACACCCATGAAAATAGCGATGTTTGAGTCATTTACTATTGGTTCCTATGATAAGAAGATGATGTCAAATTTTGTTGAACACATATGGTGAACAAAAATCGTAAAAAAAAAATTGTATCCAATGAGACTTTAACATGAATACCTGAATAAAATGAAAATAGATTCAAAAAGTCCCACTATTGCACTTTTTCAAAATATTTTGTTTTTAAAAAAACAAAAATTTATGACTTGTGTCTATCTAAATCAACTATGATGTCACACTTTTAAAAAAAAAATATTTTCTAGCATGGCTGTTGAGATTTTGGAATTTCAACTAATCATATATGTGAATATGTGTAAGCTTACTTTATTTATAGTCAATTTGTTGCAAATTTATTATTGTCTGCACTTTGATTCCATATATTATGACATAACCAGGTAAAATAACATATAGAATGCTTATTAGTCAATTAGGACAGCTATGGTACAAACAACATGCATGTAACAAGTTGCAATCCATTTAAAAGTATTAGGATACAAACCACACAACATGCAGTATGCAAATTACCTGATTAATATGCGCAGATATAGAAAATTCACGAAGAATGTTAATCAAACTCATTATCATGCCAAGCTTGTGACATATAGCATATCTGAGAAAAATATAAAATGAATCATCCTTTATAAAAGATGCTAGCAGGCAAGGAAAAGATCTCAAATGTCAAGAATATATTCATTACATGATGGCACTAATAAGTAATGCATGGCATAAAAAAAAGGATACAGGATTGTCTGTTGCACTGTTCATTTCAGTTGAGATGATTCCCCTTACAAAATCTATTGTATCATGTACAATCCCATGCACCTGTCAATAACAACAATTATCAAGATTCAAATATGAGATGTCGATGCTATTGGTCAAAAGCAGTCACATGATCATTTGATAAATATTGGATATTGGCCTCTCCGAGCATATTTCTTGCCTCTGACATAATTTTGTGTGTTACTGTCCTTGGATGTTATAACATCCACAACACTTGGATTGTTGCAGATGACAGTTTCTAATGCGTTTCTCCACTGGGGCTAATTTTGATTTCAACTTGAAAAGTTAGCATTTCGGCTCACAGTTATACCTGGCTTACTATCTCTTTCTCTTCTGGGCTAATAAAACAGTTAATGTCCCTTGCATCAGTAAAGAATTATCATCCATAAGTGGCTTTGGTTTCGACCAATAATAGCCATTGGGAATGATTATCCTTGATATCTGCCTATAACTGTATAATATTAATGTCATATATATTGGCTAAGCTTGTTGTACATAGATGCAAATGAATATAGGAACCATTAATGCTGTAGGGTGTACTGGGAGGGGTGGAGGATTTCATGTTTGTAATGACTGGTTGTAATGTGGTATCTCGTTGTTTTCAAGATGCAGTCTGATATTTGTTGCTTTCTTGGTTGTTCAATTGTGGCTAAAATTTGTGTGGTGGGTGGAAGATGTGTTTATTGTTTGTTGAGTCATTGTTTAGACACCCTGCAGCTTGAAATGGTATGGTCCAAATCCAAATTCGATTATGGTGGTGTTGAATATCTGTGCGATATGGCAGTGTCATCTAAAAACCACGCATCAAAATGATTTCTGTTTATTTATTTACTGTTGTAGATCCTGAGAACTAGCCATTGAATATGATGTCGGGAATAAATGGTTTTCTGAACAAGCTTTATTAATTATTGCTGGCATTATTCCAGTATGAATTGGGAGCAAACTGTGACACCAAATCTACTCGTTGTATTGTTATGCTTCTAAAATATTTTTTTTTTTAAATAAAATAAATTAAATAGAAATATTATGTGTATTTTTGTATGTGGAAATATGGCTGGCCCACTCAAAAATATAAAGAAGTGTGGTCTGCAGTTTGTTTTTTTTTAAATTTTTTTATTTGTAAAAAAAAATGGTATTTTACAGAGTGTAAACAATAAAACACTCACAGTGCAAGGCTAGTTCACCAACATGTCTATTCTCTTGCTTGAGTGTGAGAGTACATGGTTTAGTGACTACCTCTTATATTTTTTAATTTTAGAATTTCTTTTATTTGGGAAGGTTCTTCTATAAAAATAGAACAGATATATATATATATACATACTTGGACAGAGAAATTAAGACACAACTACATGAGTAAAGTTTATTCCACAGTACTGTTTCGTAAGGTACATGGAGTACCTCACTCATCAGGAGTTAAGACTTTATAAGTCTTAACTCCTGATGAGTGAGGTATATATATATATATACCAGTATACCTAAATATGTAAATATTATAATGTGCTGGTGGTTGGTACAGTACAGTACAGTACAGTACTTTAGAGTCAACTTTACTCATGTAGTAGTGTCTTAATTTCTCTGTCCTCGTATGTAAATCTGCTCTACAAACTCATCGTTTAGTATCGAACACTCTCACCTGGAATAATCGACTACCTTCCTCTATATATATATATATATATATGTGTATATATATATATATGTATGTATGTACCAGTATACATAAATATGTAAATATTTTAATGTGCTGGTGGTTGGTGGGAGTTGTGCGACTCATTACTTTTGATACAATATACATGTATAAGGTCTAACTATGTATTTCTGGTATAACTGCAATTGATTCTCTAAACATATCCCCTGGTATCATTTTTTTCTTTACGAAATCACAAATTCGGTATTGCATGAATTGTCTGTGGTAATATTGAGAAACAATTAAATATTCCGATAATCAGTATACTGGGGTAACTACTGTCAGAAAGATAGATGAAAACAATTAATCTTACTTGTGGACAGCATCTTAAAGTATATGAATCTTGTACACGGTCACAAAAACGGTGACTTTCAGCAATTTCAGAAGGATGATATTCTGAGTGAAGCAATGCCCTGAATCTTGCAGCAACATCTCTCTGTCCTTTGTGCGGTCGTGATGCATGGATATCTAAGGAAAAAATGACCCTATTATGTATGTATGTATGTATATTATGTATGTATGTGTAGTACATGCAAAAATCAACATTTCAACAATTTTTTTTTCATAAAAACTTGGTATTGGCATCTCTCATATAGGGTCACTGTGTATTTATTATCTGTACACAAGCCTGAGAGGTGGAAATAAGTGCTAATCAAGAGATAACCAAATTGGGATATGTTGAAATGAAATTTTTGGAATGAAAATGGCCACCAGTCAGTTCAAAAGTGAATGAAACATCAAACAAATGAACATGCACCTATGTAACATTACGTCTTATCCTTGTAACCACCTGAGTCAAATGACATGCATCAGTGACGTCAATACAATTTTGAAAATGACACAGTTTTCCTGAGGAACAGTTGATGACATGTTTAAATATTGTTATTGGAATGAAAAACAAATTGAGATGCATATGTATACCATATACTTGCCTTTGTACCAACACTGAATATGCATGTCCAAGAAATTACATTTCAAACCACATACTACGAGAACTAATAATTATATTTATTTATCTGAACAAAATTTTATTAATTCTCACCAGAAGTTCTCGTGTCACAGGTGAAACAGAAAGTTTGGTTGAAATATACACTAGGCTATGATATTTCAAAATTAACAGAAAACTCACCACTGTCAAATGCTCTTGTTGTACCTTTGAGTACCTCTAAAGTCAAAGCTGCCACGACATCAGCCTGTTTGGCAATGACTTCTGCTCTCTCCAAAGCTGAAAGAAACATAATATGTTCAATATATTCAACAACAAAGTACATGTTTTTAAAACAATGTCAATAGACATAGTTCCTGTTCAGTTTTTAGTGACTGTATCAATCATAAACTATGAAAGATGTAGATAGATTGCAGTCTAATTAAAAGAGAGCATGTTAAAAATATAGTATTATTTCCTTAGGCATCCAGGTTTTGTTCAAAGAGATACACAGGAATAAGATCTTCTCATATCACACAAAATTGTATAATCAAGAAACCACAGAAACCAATTGAACATTTCAAATAACAAAACATTATGAATATTGTGAAAATAAAACATGGCTATCAGTCAACCAGTTTGAATCATATAACAAAACAAACTCGTCTGCATCAGTAACCCATCATGTGTGTTTCATACAAAGTTTGAATAAAATTGGCCAAGGCATGCCATGGTGTTTAGGGGAACAAAAATCAACATACGAGTATTATCATTTAATTGTCTTTTTATCAAATTTCAACAAATTGGTCAAAGTATGTTTGAGAAATGGTTAAGCGACAGCAGCTGATTTTTATATTCAATAAAACTATGTCTTCAGTGTCAATTTGTAACAACCATTGCTGAAATGTGAACGCTGAAAACATAAGCATATATGCTCTATACCAAAATTGTGCATTATTAAAATGACTTGCAAGTGAAAGAAGATGGCCGCAGTGTTACATTCAGAGGACATCATCTATTGTAATCATATTTTGTCGAGCAAACCTCAAGGATTATGGTACAAGATGACAGCTTGTATTGTATTACATGACATGTATTAGAGGTCCCGGGCGAAATGTCAAATATGGTATCTTGAGAGGCTGAGACTCTCTCTGACCGTCTAACTGATCAATTTTATGGGTTTTATTTTCTCATATTAGTGTGTGTTATGCATCATAGTGTTCTATGGTCTACACAATGATGACTATATGACTCTTAGTTTTCATGTCGCATTTTATGTGATATTAGCCTTGTGTTGGGTTACTTTGCCGTGCACTTGAGTCTAAAACATTATTCCGGTAAGATTTGTCATCGTTGTGTGACTATATTTAAACAAAAAGAAAATAACACCAACTTGGACAAGGGTCAGTTGCTCTTAATAATAACTCAAGGTTATTACGAGAATATCTCACAAAGGAAGTTTGGCGATCGTCTTGACTGATGCAAACATGTAGAAGAGATTGATGCATTCTCCTACAGCATACTTTGCAATACATTCTAGTGATAACACTTTTATTATACATCTTCCAAGCTTGTAGTAATAATTTTATGAGATAACAAACCAAAATGAAACGAAAACGTTTTACGTCTGATGTTAACAAAAGAAAGTGTTCAAATAAGAAAAAACTTTTGAATATGCCTGTAACACTTTAGAACACATCCGTATGGCATTTTACTGCCAGATGAATTCCACTGTAATAATAAGGGATAGTATATAATTACCAAATTATTCAGGTTTCATGTAAAATAGAAAGATGTATTACCTAATGCTCCAATTGCCGTTATGAGTTGTGTACCATTTATAAGTGCTAATCCCTGCAAAAAACAGAAAATATAAGAAGATTGGCAGTTAGCTTTTTTTAAAGTGTAAATTGCAAGTGCACCTCCTGATGGTACAATATACCCCAGTAGTGCATGTTTTCACAGAAATCATAATGTATTTGTGTCAATATAACAGAGCTGTGTGACAACCATCTTATCATAATTTCCTTCAGTGAGTTTAATGTCTTATTCCAATGTCAACCAGGCCTGATTGTACACATTTAGCATCTGTCCAATGAATCTGTTTGAAGACAGTTTGCCTATGGCTTGCATATACCGGTACATATATCATAGTTATAATATTTATTTTTATTTACAATCCACACACATTTTACTCCATACATTATGGGCAGCATGTAAATCATTAAAAATAATAAAATTATAATAGTCTTTATTTAACAAACTTAAAGTGCCTGTGAAATGGCTGCTATTTTCACGCTTAAAATTGTCAATTGATACATAAATATTATTAATTTTTATGTTTCTAAGCATAAATAATTTTTTTTAACTGAAAAAATGTGTTTTAAACTCAGTCTACGGCAACTTTATTTTTGTGTATTTTAAAACGAGGCTCCTCATTAGCTTCTCATTTGCATACAGAAATTCCTCTTGTGACGTCAGAAGGGGAAGTCGTATGGCAGCTTGCATTGCCGATACGTGTAAATAAGGCAAATTTCTTGTGCAGTTTTCTCGTCTTTGACTATATTGTCACTTATGTACTTGTTTGTCGAGGAAGAATGGACCATAATGAACACATAGTATAAATTGTTGTTGCATGGGGTTGAGTTAGATGCGAAATATGTCCGTACGGGTGTAGCTGGTCAGCGTGATTGTCACCAACACTGGCGCACGTTTGTACACTGTTGCTGGACAAAATCGAATTTGACGTCGGAATTATCTCGTTATTTAGCAGGTTACTAGGCATGTCACTACACTGTTTTATTTCATCGATCGTCTGAGTAAAACTTTCAAAATTATAATAAAAGAGAACATATTTTGACATTCTAAACATTAGACTATAGTGATCACTATACAATAATTAAAAAAAACGACAAATCAAAGTTACTAAATAAATGACAGCCGCGTAAAAA